TTTCGCAAACTTTTACTTAAATTCCACTTGCGCAGAACTTGTCTATATAATGCCATTATATGAGTATGAGTATAAGAGACGTATAACCAGCCCCATTTCCTCTTGACTCGCGAACCCCGTACAGGCCTATGTTTACTTGCGCCGATTTTTGTTCTTCCCCAGCAACTGCACGGCTTCACCCGTGTTTGCTGGGTGCGAATGTCCATTGCGTTTCGTACTGTCCCCTATTTGGGGCTCGAGAGCGAGAGGCGAATAGTTATAATAGCCATTCCCGGGTTCGCCGAGCCTATGCTATACGCTCGGTGGGGTGTGGATGAGGGACGGGAGGGAGTTGGTTTTTGGGGGACAATTACGCCGACTTAAAACTAAGTACGACGCGGAATCCCCCTAGACCAGTCGATTAGTTTTACTCCAAACATTTGGGATTACTATTTGGAGTTGGGGAGTTGTTATTTCGCTGCAGGGGTGTAGTCGAGGTCTTTGTCTTGTTCGTTATTGTCGTTGTCCGTGTCCTGGTCAGATAGCTCCTGCCCTTGGTAAAGTGTGTCAGTTGTTTTTAATAATTTTTGTCCCAAGCACGTTTTGTGGTAGAGTTCCGTCTTTGTTTATCAAATTCCAAGGCATTGCATTTATTCACTAGTCCAACAAATCACAAGCGCGATCATTCTGTCGTCTAATGTTTACAAATCTCGAGTTTGGATATTAGGCCCTTTTTTTTAATGTGTTAGAATTATGATCAGTGTTAGTTTACTCTGTCAGTCCAATGTTTATTTTCGGTCTCGATTGGGACCGCTTTACGCACTTGCCGTTGACAGACTTATTGCCCCACGCCGCGCGCCCTTCATAGATTTTAAAGATATCCCAATAAACACTTTAACGATGCCTAACACCATTAGCATTGCCCGTGTAAGAATTTTTAACACTTTTTAATACAATTTTGCAATGATAGTAATTAAAAACAAAACAATTGTTTAAAGAGTAAAATATGTTCTTAACATAATCCTATTTTAAAGTTATTTTAACATTTCCAAGTAAAATAAATGTTATGTTTAATGAAATGAATACGGGCAATGTTAATGGAGACAAGTAACGGAAAATGCTTGCCGGGATCTGCCGTATTTATATTGCAGATTTGTATCAGGTCATGCATACTCTTAAAGTAAAACTTATCAGATTTTTCCCCTTGCGGATGACCACCTCCCCTCTTCTCCGACCTCCCCCGTCCGTCCAGTGAAAAGCCTCCAATGACAGGTGGCACCCAAGTCACTCATATCACCAACACTCCACTCCTCAATGACCGCTACACCACTACACCACTCCAGCTTGCACTCCATGAAAATGTTTGTTTCACTTTATTTTTTAAATTATTGTTGGTTTCATCTTTAAACCTTTACGTTTCAAGAGCTCGCCCGCACGCGACCCGTCTACTCGAGCGCCGGAACCGAACTGCTTAGGGCAATATAGATTATTAAAAAAAAAACTCTGATGAATATTTAATAATACTTCAGACTTGCTGTCATATTTCGCCGTTAATATATGCCTTTTAACCATACCTTTGGGATTTTAAAAAATCACTCCTCATTTATAGGATGTTATAACCTTAAAAATTAAAAATATTTTTTTAAATAATGTATTAACCTACCTTTTCAACAAAAGTATGAGTATTTTTGATTAATTAGACTGTAATTAAATCCACATCCATTGTATAATTTAACAATTTCGTTGTAAACATCCTCAAAATTTTCCAGTTTTGCACACAAGCGTTAATTCTTAATCAACGACAAATAATACATCTTTCGCACATTGGACGTAATATTTGTTTTCCTATATTCTTAAAAAAACTTATAAAGTGATTTTGTTTTAATTTTTTTTTGTAGACTGTACTTTGACAGATAAAATGCCAAAACAACTTGTCATGAAAAATTTCGGAACGCAGCCTGGCCGATTTCGGTTTGGAGGATAGTACTTTATACAGAGTGACTATTCGTACATAACTTTATGTATGAATAGTCCTTCGGCTATTCGTACATAACCTATGTAGTCATGACTGCATAGGTATTTCTTGGCACATAAACAATCAAATTGAATTTAATGATAGGTATACCTACCTAGATATATCTAGAGATTTTTTATAGGATTTTTTATACATAGAGATCAACAAAAGAAGATCAACAAAAGATCTCTTTCAATTCAAAAAACCATAAAACATAACATAAAAACAAGATTCTAAAAAACCTGTACCTGTCAGCCCTGGTAAGTTCTTTTGATTTTCTTTAGACGAGTAAAACAAAATATTCTTTTTTTTTGGGCCACCCTAATTTATATAGCTGTCTACTTAAAAGTAGTCCTCGTGCTCGAGGACGTTGACTCCTTAAAGCTAACCTAAAGTTGTCTCCTTTTCTTTTCGTTCAGTTTTTAATAATGATGGGGGTGGAAAGTTTTCACAATGATACTTGATATTAATTAGAATTTACTTAAAGTTGTCTTCTTTTCTTTTCGTTCAGTTTTTGAGGAGGACATTTTTGAAGAGGATTTATCTCGAGTTTTGATGGTTTTTGGGTCCTTGTAGAATACACAAACAACACTTTAAACAATGATTTTAGAACAATAAGATGGTTAAACAATTTTATCAAAGCAAACCATCTGTACGGTGGTAAGTTCAAAACGCTTCTGACTATATAATGCCATTATAAACTCATATAAATTTGATGTGGGTCCCATGTCTAATAACTGAGATATGGGTGTGCCAAAATCCACCAGCCGCCACTATTGCCTACCAAAAAGCCTTAAATGTACTCTTTTGTAAAAAAATCAGATTTTCGTTGCTAATATTCCAATTCAAAAAATTTGAAATCCTTTTTAAGGTAAGACATAATTCTTCATTATTTCAGAGAAAAAACGAGAAAAAATATTTCTTTTTTCAAACGGGTCTAATAACTGAGATATGGGTGTGCCCAAAATCCACCAGCCGCAATACACTCAGTCTTTTTAAGAACAAGAAAATAAGATGGTGAAAGATTATTCCTTGAATAATTCTGAACAAGCGACAACAAGTAAAGACCACTTTTTCAAAATGACATTTTGGTAAAAATTTGCGAAAACTAAACCTGAACCGATATTTACGTTCTTGACATGTTTTCTTTATAATTTTGACCTGCTGATTGTGATTCAGTTGTCAAATTTAAGTTTCAAATAAAACCAAAATCACCCAGAATCAAAATTCGAAAACAATTCCCGGTTGTTAAATGTCTTAATAAAATCAGAAAAAAAATTATATCGTCGTTGCTAAGATTCCAATTCGAAAAACTTGAAAAACGCTTCAATAATACTTCATTATTTTTTTTACAAACGGGGCTTGGATGAAGTTATTGAAATTTACTTGACGAACCGTGAGCTTCATACCTATAGCATGCATTGCCAGAGGATGAGGCTAGCAGACATCACAGACCAAAATAAAATTGTTTAAGAAACAAAAAAGTTATAACTATACTATGAATCATAGTATATATATTCATACATCATAGTACCTATATATATTCATTAGGGTGTGCCAAAAAAACTCGAAATAGTTTTTTTCTTGCTCTCCACCCAAAATATCGTAGAATATGTCCGAACAAATATTCTGTTAAAAGCGGAGCTCATAATTTTAATTTTAAGAGGTCCCTCATCGAATCTGAAGTTTTGCCGCTTAAATAGCACAGAAAACTGACCTTTTTACCTTATTTATTCTTGCAACCTAGGAAGAAATTTTTTTTTCATAAAATCCATTACCAAATCTTACAAAGCATTAAACTTGGACGAAAAAATCTTATTAAGCCGAATTTCTATTTTCATTATTTAATTTTTTACAGAGCTTTAAATTTAAAATTTTACGTTTTTTGCCTTTTTCAGCTAAACTATTGAAGTTAGACGAAAAAGTCAAATGGTAATTTTTTAGCTTGTCTGATGGACCACAAAAAAGTTTAAGGCGAATTTTTTATATCGTCAATATTCTAAAAGTTACAGGCGTATAAAGTCATCATTTTTGTATTATTATCTTTAAATTTAAAGCTATGTAAAAAATTAAATAATGAAAATAGAAATTCGGCTTAATAAGATTTTTTTGTCCAAATTTAATGCTTTGTAAGAATTAGTCATGGATTTTACGAAAAAAAAAAATCTTCCTAGGTTGCAAGAATAAATAAGGTAAAAAAGTCAGTTTTCTAAGCGGCAAAACTTCAAATTCGATGAGGGACCTCTTAAAATTGAAATTATGAGCTCCGCTTTTAACAGAATATTTTTTCGGACATATTCTACGATATTTTGGGTGGAGAGCATGAAAAAAAAAATATCGAGTTTTTTTGGCACACCCTAATATTCATACATAATATCAAACAATATTTAATATGTAAGGTATTTAGAAAAGTGTTTAATTCAGATGCGAAACATATCATTCATTAAAATTTAAAAAATATTGGTTTACCCGTATGCAAACAACAAACTTTTTTAGACCACACAAAATTTTGTTGTATTAACCAATCTTTTTTCTCCGTGTACTATTTATTAATTGTACATGTTTTTAGGATTTTTAATCATTTAATTTTTTTGACATTATGTTTTTACAATTTTTTATATATTAGTATAAATTTAGGTTATTTAATAAAACAATTTCTGTCGTAAATTTTATTTTCCCTTGCATACCTAAATAAAATTTTTAAAACAAGACGTTGCAGATTTCATAAACCTCTCTCGTAATGTAAACAAACTATCCCCAATATAAAAAAGATAAGACAAAAAGAAGTGCATCAGCCATATCAGCAGAGCGTAGGAAGCGGGAAACGATCTGGAGTCCCGGGAGACGTCTGGAAAACCCGACTTTGCCGCACCGCGCGCTCCGTTGTGTATCGTGTCGTCATTTCGCGCGCGAATTAAGATATCGAACGCCAGCCGGGTAGGCAACCGGCTTCGCGGGCCGCCGCGATCACGTGACGCACCAGCGCAGTGATGCCCGTGCGCTTGGTGTTTTAGTTTAGTTTATTCGCGACACTCTAGGGGAGTAGGTGTGCGAAATAACCGGCTGGTTTTTGTTAATCTGTCAATGGCACGATGAACAATCATCGAGTGAAGAATACAATGGTGTCGTGTGTGGGATGATTCGACGAACCTAACCTCGAATTCGTGCGGCAGAAGGTTAAGGACCTTAGCAGCTGTGACCCACACCCTCGCTCGTACTGTTGACCCCGAAACGCTGGGGCTATGGCAAGACTAAAATAAAAGTGTTTTAAAACTGCATAGCTAGCCATGGCTTTGAGTCATGCTTTAGGTGTTATTTTGGCGCTTACGTGCGTAACCTGTTACTATAACAGTTGCTATTGCGGATTTGTTTTCGATGACATTAGCGCTATAAAAGACAACCGAGATCTAAGGCCACATTCCCCGCTGATCAACATTTTTTACAACGATTTCTGGGGGACACCTATGCATAAGGTAAATATTAAGAATCTAAAAATGGTAGTGAAAGTGGGCGAAACATTCTTATAATCGTTTTTTGCTGATATCTTGTTTCCTATTGGTCGGTCGTCAAAATTCCGCATACAAAAATTGTATGTTTTTTATTCTCCACATAAAGAGTATTAAGCATTTTTAGGTAAAACTCACCGTTTACGAAATATTGAGCTCTCTAAAGCTTTTACCTAGAGGTATAATTTTCAGGTATAATAATACAATTATTGTCTTAAGCTCGATATTTACGAAAACATTGGTTCTACGACAAAAATTTATTTGGCCGTTTCGGAGGAAAATTTTTCAATCTACTTTTTACTGCATCAAGCTTTGACCACAAATTAAGTAAAATGATGACAAGTAAAAATAAGGGAATGCTATAACAACCATAAATTAACATTATGACAAGTTAAATACCAAGTTAAAATGATGACCAACTAAAATGAGAACAGGGTAGCCAAGGACTTTTTCCCTTTTAAAATCAGATTTTTAACCAAAATTCGTCAATTTTAAAATTATACATAAACAATTTGTGTCCGATTATAATAAGATTTTTATCTATTTACTCTATTGTGTAAAAATGTTAACGCAATCCAAATAAGATTGTTGTTCAAAGTGCCATTTTGTCATTTTTGTTAAAATTTTAACACATTTAAGTATATAGAGGAAGCTACAAATTTCGTAAAATTGTTCGTGTAATAGCATTTTGAATTTTGAAAACTGCCGTTAGTATTCTGTTCTCTAAAAAGATAAAATTGAACACACTTTTTTTGCTTGTGTTTCGAGAAATAATTAAAACTTATTTAACCACTTTTTAACTTGGGTTCCGACTATGTATACCTACAATACCATACCTGTAGAAGTGCAACTGAAGATTCGCATTTTAAAAGTTCATTCACGTTTTCCACTACCTCTTCAGTGTGAATAGTGAATAGTCTTCACCAAACCAATAACAGGTTTGCCAACAAACATACCGAAGAAGTTAAAACTTCTCAGCCGCATTTTATGCTATTGGATTGTTTCAAAAAGGGATTTACTCGTAATCAAAAGTTCTGCAAAAATAGCTCTAATCTGCACCTGTAGGATGGTACGGGTCACTAGGTATATCTTATTTTAGTGAAAAATTCTCATATTTTTGAAGATATTTCAAAAGTGACTAGATTCTTTGAAAAAATTGACAAAGTTGTAGAAAATTTAATTTTCGTAAGTAATATCATAAGGGCATTTATTTTTTCCGAAAAGAATCGAAAAAACACGTTGCTAAGTAATATTTTAACAAAAAGCATGAGTGCACGAATGCATTTTGTTAAAAAATATTACTTAGCATTGTGTTTTTTCGATTTTTTTCACAGGAAAAATTAGATGCCCGAATGGTATTTGACAAGACTATTTCATGAGTAACAGTTAACAATTAAAATATAAATTGCAATTTTTGGTAACAGTAGCTGTCAAGTTTTGCCGCGGGTAAACTCGAATAAACTGCTGACAGGTGCTGTCACACAGTTTTTTCACCTAGAAACCATTTGTAATTCAAAATTGCGCGTTTGTGATTGGTGGAAATTAAGACGAGGGAAATAGTCTTTAAAAAAGGTATTTTCAGTTGAATACCTAAGATTGATATTTGTTGAGATATAAAGCGTTTACATTGACAATTTATGAAATTTTTAGGATTTTCGTAAGTAATATCATAAGGGCATCTAATTTTTCCGAAAAAAATCGAAAAAACACGTTGCTAAGTAATATTTTAACAAGAAGCATGAGTGCTGGTGGCAACAAAAATACGAGTCGAAGACGAGGATTTTTGCACCTGCACGAATGCATTTTGATAAAAAAATATTACTTAGCATTGTGTTTTATCGATTTTTTTCACAGGAAAAATTAGATGCCCGAATGGTATTTGACAAGACTATTTCATGAGTAATAGTTAACAATTAAAATATAAATTGCAATTTTTGGTGACAACAGCTGTCAAGTTTTGCCGCGGGTAAACTCGAAAAAACTGCTGACAGGTGCTGTCATACAGTTTTTCCACCTAGAAACCATTTGTAATTTAAAATTGCGCGTTTGTGATTGGTGTAAATTAAGACGAGGGAAATAGTCGTACCAAACTTTTTATAAATGATGATTTTCAATTTTTTATTAGTACAATTTCATGTAACGTTTTTTCTACAGTCAGGTGATTAGAGAAAAGTAAATAACTAAAACAATTAAGCATAATTATTAATAAAATAACATGTTGTATGTATTACACCTCGCGATTCAACTGATAATACCTTTTTAAAAGAAAATTAGTCATTTTTGAAATATCTTCACTAAAATAAGATTTAGTGACCCGTACCATCCTATCGTATTTTATTATTGATTATGTCAAAGAAAATGTTTTTTGGCGATTTGGAAGTTACATTTAAAAGAAAGGGGAACATTTTAATGGGTTGGGTTAAATAATTTAACCAACATTGCCTTATTTTTACACTGAAAATATACCCTTAATGCTGTCTCATTATTAACAGGACACTCTGTATAATTTAACTTCAAAATCATCAGGTTTTGTGGGAAATGTAAGGATTAAAAACACATGTCAAATTTCCAGGGCTTGCTAAAAAGAATCGTCAAGCGTTTAAAGTATTTAGTTGGTATGACTGAATGTTTGTGCATCTCGACCCTAATTTCCCGTTTTCCGGGATTAGGCTACACTACACTCATCCACTAATCAAGAACGATCAATTAAGCTAAGCCGAGCTCTGTACAAACACTAAATTTAATTAATAATTTCAAGCTGGCTGAATATAGATGTCTCTTTATATAATATATCGTGCAAAGAAGTGTGGAAGATAGTAAACTCTCTCACTGTGTAGATTAAAATTGGTTTCTAAGAAGCTGGCAGTAATTATCTCACTTCCTTAAAGGCAAATAAGCAAATTGCATCAAAGCTGGAACTCCTTCAAAGGCTGCCTCTAAAGGGAAAATAAATAAGTCGCGCAGACTTTCAATTAGTACTATGAATGAGCATGTGATGTATTCTCAGATTATAGCAACTTCGTTTCTTCCGTATTCTGCCTGTATGCTACTTCAACTAGGAAAACTATAAGGGCCCTACCAAATATTGTCGAACTTAATACTTACATTAAAGTTAATTAAAGGTGTTTATGTACAGACCCCAAAACTCAATTAACTAAACCCAGAATCCGGCGTATTATAACCAAGTCTAACAAGGGTATTACCCCAACAAAATTTTAGTAATTTTACAACGAAAATTTAACAAAAATTGCCTTAGGGTTGGTTTTGTATAAGGTTTTAAAGGAAGACTCTATACCTGTTCTATAGTTGCTATAGTTGCATTGGATATAATTGATATTTTTATACTATACATTGTGTACCAAAAGTCATGGACAGCAGAAAATAAAGTACATAATATGTACCTAATTCATTATTAAAATTATAACGAAAATATACCGAAATCCGCAGTATTTTAACCAGGACGAAACCGTGTTATAAATCCACGTTAGTCGTTACACCTTTAAATACGAATGTTCGCGTACACAGATTAATCATGTTTTGATTTTGGAAAACGGCATACAAATGTAGCAGTTTGTGTTTTCTCGCGCTCTCTCCAGCGGTTTTGCAGGTCGTATTTCATTTATTTCTGGCCGAGGCGTAAATTTATGTTTTCGAGAGCAGAAAAAAACAACAACGAAACGTGGGAGCAGGAAAAATCCCCTAGAAAATATTATTACAGCACACGGCTCGAACTTGCAGACGTCTGATAACGATTTTTGCTGTTTTTTAGCTTTGGCAAATAATAAAGTTTGCTAAGGGATGATTTCAAGGTGAAATTAAATACTTTTATAAAGTTTTGTTGGTTTTAGATTTCTTTAAAATCCTAATTCAAATGGAACGTAACATTATTAAAATTTTGCCTGGGATACATGAAATAAATGAGGTCTAAAACAATGTTTTACGTTCTACACGTACGTTGCACTATGGAAAATCTGGATCTCGCATAAAAAATCCATAACTTTTTTATTTTAAAAAATGGCTGCAAAAATGTTGTGCATGTATGAAGTAGATTAATTAATTATTTTTTACTTCAATTATCAACATAAATGATATAAATGGGCTTAACGGTTCTGAAACTATTCTTTTTGCAGATGACACTTCAGTAGTTATACCTTATAAAAATTTAGAAACTTTAAATGAAAAACAAACTGACAGTAGACTACATACAACACAATATTTTACCTCAAACTTCCTAAAAATAAATGAAAGTAAAACTAAAAACATCGTCTTTACTCACTCAACTTCAATAAACATTGCAAATCCCCCAAGTGTTAAGTTTCTTGGCCTAATGCTTGATGAAAAATTAAACTGGGGACACCATATTGTCTACATAGCATCTAAAATATCAAAAAATATATTTGTGATAAGGTCCTTGGTCAATCTGGTCCCTTTATCATTAAAATAGCTTACCACTCACTGATTGCATCACACCTGTCATATGGGTTAATATGCTGGGGACACGCTCCGTGTGGTGGACGATTGTTTGGTCTGCAAAGCAAGGTTCTGAGAATAATGACAGGAGTGGGGTACACTGAATGGGTGAAAAAATATTTTTCGGAATTAAAATTTTTAACCCTACCTTCCATGTTTTATATGTTAGTTTATTGCATGTTTATGACAATATAAACTCCTACAATACCATAAAAATTTCAAACAACAATTAAATTATTTTTAATAAACAATTCTGTTTATAGTTTAGATCACAATCCATAATGTGTGGATTGTGGTTTAGATGACTTTTTAAGCTGTGATTGTCAAAATATGTAGTAATTAGTCTGTCCATGCTTGTTACTAGGTATATCTATATTATAATGTTATTTATTTTAATGTTTTAATTTTAAATGTAATTTATTTATATATTTTGTACTTGTGTAAACTTTTTGTACTTAACACGAATAAAGAATTGAATTGAATTGAATATTTTGCTA